GACGGGACAAGCTGCTAAATTGCTCTGGGACACCAGTCTACAGCTGTAGCACTGCCGCTTCTGCAAAGGGAAGCGTGCATCACAGCCCTGGTCTAAATCCATTACGCATGAAGTTTTGTGCTTTGAATTTTCTACTCTATCTGGTAAATAAGTACCAAGCGATAAACTTCTCAGAGATGCCCTCCCTGACATCAAAGCACTGACCTGCTGTGATCAGGCAGCAGAGGAAGTATAGATGGGTTTCAGTTTCTGTAGCCGAATACATCGGCTCTAGCTCAGTCCCCTCAATCATTCTGCCTGCGGCACACCACACTTTGCTGTGTGCACAGATAACCTCAACCCCAAACCTACAGCTGTCGCTAGTTAATGCTCATTCCGTGTCAAACTCTGCGCTGGAACAATCCTGGAGGTACGGACCCCTCCTGCGGGAATTACTCACAGCAGCAGGTCGAACGTGCCCGGGCCTGGCAGGACGACTGCGTGCATCCGCAGGCAGCGGTGGGAGGTCTGGAGAGGAGAAGGTTTTGTTCTGTTCTTCCTCTGACCCTGCAGCAGCTAGTTCTCCAGCAGCGCTGGGCTCTCAACTTGCCAACTGCTGGGTGGAAAAGAGCATGAGCGGACCCTGGGCATGGTCCCCAGCTGTGCCCACCCCTCAATGGGTATAAATGTCTCTAACTCCTAGCATCTGGTTCTAGCTGAGCCATGACTCCATGCCTCGGTCGCCTGTACAGGGACCATCCTCTTGCCAAGGGAGAATGAGGTCTGGAGTGCAGTCTCTGCTACGGCGTTGTTAAGCCTGGCATTGTAGTCCCTGGCGAGGAACAAGCAGGCTGGGTTTGGCGTCTCTCCAGGAGGAGAGGACATTGCGGTTTGGGAGGAGAGTTTTCCACAGATGTACAGAAGTGTGGAAAAGCATTGGGATTTTTTATTTTCCCTCTCTATGCATCTTTCATCCAGGAAAAGAGGATTTCTAGTCAAGCCATTAAGCCGCAGGTAAACAAGGTCATCTAGCGGGTTGGCCGTGTACCACCAAAATACCACAGGGCAGGTAGAGCCCTGCTTTGAAAGACAAAGCCACCAAGAGCCTGCGTGAGTCCCAGAGCTGGCTCCTCTGCCCCAGCAGTGCTGGTGAGCAGGGATGGGTTCCTGGGACAGCAGAGCCCTGGCCTGGCCACGAGGCACTGCGGTGACACCAGGAAACCAGACTGTTCATAGTCCAACTCCTGGGGGAGGAGTGGTGTTCCTCAAGTCCTAATCAGTCTTCATCTCACCATCTCGTCTTCCTCCTGTCCTAGTTTGTTGCCCAGATGCTGGGGTTCCTCATCAGCGTGGTCAGCTCCATCTTCTGTGGCCACCTGGGGAAAGCCGAGCTGGATGCTGTGACGCTGGCTGTGTCTGTACGTATTACTCTGACTCCCCTCTGATTTGAAACGTACAAATTATGTGTCACCAAAAAAAGAAGAGAAAAAAACCAAAACCTGTAGGAATGTAAACGTGAGGACCCTGTGCGTAAGCACAGCCTGACGCAGTGCAAACATCGCATCCACCAAACCGTTCGTTCTTTTGCCCTGAGCACAGGCAGGAGATGGGAACTGAGCAGTCGGTGACTCCCGGGCAGGGAGCTGGAGCCCCTGACCAGGTCTCTGGACTCACCAGACCTAGGCGTGCGCGTGCGCCTAGGAGCAGCACTGTGGTCCTTTAGTTAGCCAGCCCTTGCTAGAGGATCCTTTTCCACACCAGAGGAGAGAAGAGGCTATTTAGGTAACAAGAATGTGTTATTCTGAGAAATAGAGAAGGGCTGGAAACTTCCCAAAAACTCATAGCAGAGCTGTCTCCCCACCCAGCTGGGAGGAACACGGTGCTTTGGGCCAGGTCCCCCGTCACCCTCCCTTGCAACCTGAGTCTCTTGTCTCTCCTCCAGGTTATCAACGTGACGGGCATCTCCATCGGTTCTGGTTTAGCCTCAGCATGCGACACGCTGATGTCCCAGGTCCGTAGCAACTCCCCCTTCCTTTCCTGTGCCCGACAGGGTTGGATTGGTGGTGCCTCACCTCCTGTGCGGCGTGCTCTGGGCACGAAGGGCAGGAGGATAGCAGCTTCCAGCCAGCACGGGGCTGCAGATGCACTGGCTGGAGCCTGCTCCCTCCCTGCAGCTCCCCCAAGGAACCCTGGGTCATACCTGGGTAGCAAAGGGATGCGCAATCTGCCCGAGAGCCAGTTGTACCCAGCCAGCCTGGCGTCAGCCACTGCAGGGCGTGGGAAATGCATTTAATCAGCCTGTTGCATTTGAGCGTTTGCCCAGACCCTTTGGTTCCGTGCAACGCTCACCTTGGTCCTCTCTCCTGACTCAGACATATGGTGGCAAGAACCTGAAGCAGGTGGGCACCATCCTGCAGCGAGGGATCCTCATCCTGCTGCTGTGCTGCTTCCCTTGCTGGGCGCTCTTCATCAACACCGAGAGGATCCTCCTGCTCATCCGACAGGACCCCGAGGTCTCCAGGTCAGGGGTGGGATCGAGCCCTTCTGGATCGGGCATTTGGCTGTGGGTGGGTTGCCATGCAGTGTTGAAATCAAGGCGCTGTGGAGCGTGAGTGCAACGCCGCTTGGCTTGGCTCTTGCTTTGCCGTATCATTAACTGGGGAAACAACTCTCTTTCCAGGTTAACTCAGGTCTACGTCATGATCTTTATTCCAGCGCTTCCTGTAAGTTGCTGCTAAAGCTGTTAGAAGCTCTGTATCCCTCAATGACATTTGGGGAAAGGAGGGAGGGTCTTTGCTGTGTGGATCACAAGGCAGCATCATTTAGGGTTTTACAACGTGCCCCTTGATCTTGGGCTTTAGCAGATGTGTATTGGCCAGCAAACACGCACTCTCTCATCTTGCTGTGCAAAGGCTTTTCCTGCCCATGTAACTGGGGGTGGACATTGGAACCTGGGGCTCCAGGGCTCGCTCTTAGCTCTGAGATAAAGGCTGCAGCCTGCTGTTCGCACACGCTCGTAGCTGCTGGGCTCTTGGCTAGTTAACGCTGTCTCTCTGGAGAGACTCCTCAAGACAGGGAGCAGTACCCCTGAGGAATAAGTGTCTGTAGGTCAATGCTTTCTTCCAAGGTTTCCAGGCTGTCTTGTGCTGTTGAGGGAGCACGAGACACTTCCCATTTGGAGACCGATCTCTCTTCCCAGTGGGAATGGGAGGTGCCTTTTGTTACTCTTGGCTTGGGGGTGCAGCCAGTGCTGGCAGATGCCATGCTTCAACCAGACCCAGGAGCAGGGTGTCGGCAGTTTGTCTGGCTGGGGCACCCTGAGAAGGTGGCGGGAGGACCTGAGGGAAGGACCTACCTGTGAGCGTTGAACGGTAGCTGGCTGTTGAACCATAGCGTGGCGATGCTGATGAAATGAATGCTGACTTTTGCAGGCGGCGTTTCTGTACCAGCTGCAGACGAGATATTTACTAAGTCAGGTATTGTATAACTAACCAGGTTCTGGGCCATGGATTAAAGGTATTCCTAGGAATATGGATAAAGTTGGGGATCTAAGCTCATCCTGTGCTGGGGAGAGCTGAGGAATGTATGATGCAGAGCCCTCAGGCAGCCCTGCAGGGCAGGGAGAGCTCATGGGAACCACCCTTAGCTTGTTCCGTTTCCCCATTGCTACCTCCCAACTCTGCACTTTGTTGATTGCACCAGCTCGAGCCCTGCATGCTGCCTTCTGCATGTCTAACACAATCTAGCTTTATCTGAAACAGGAGCTGCATTCTTGCCTTTCTCCTGGGGCATTGACGAAGGGTCTTCCTCGTGCTCGCTGGATAGGGGCTTGGGCAGTGCTGGGGAAGCAAACTCCAAAGTCTTTCCTTGGCTTCCAGGCGATCATTCTGCCTCAGGTGTTGACGGGGATTGCAGCCAACATCCTCAATGTGGGCATGAACGCTTTCTTCCTATATGCGCTGAAGCTGGGCATGGTGTAAGTGTGAGCAGAGGTGGTGACAGCCTCTCCCTGGGTGCAGGCGTTTGCTCGGGGCTGTGGGGGTGTCCTGGGTGCCCAGTTCTGCCACCCTTGCCCTCAGCCAACCTACCTGGAAGGATAAGGCTGGAGGGATCTACCCCATCTCTGCAGCAAGGCTTGTATGGGTGCTACAAGGTCTCTCCTGCCGTAGCTGAGAAGGTGGTGGAGGAGGACATTGTTTGACATCTGCCTGTCTCTCTCCCCAGGGGCTCTGCCTGGGCTAACACTGTTTCTCAGTACACCCAGGCCATTCTCCTCTTCCTTTACGTGTGGTGGAAGAAGATCCATGTGGAGACCTGGGGAGGTACTGTTCATAGCTTAAGCCTTCAAAATACCAGTGTCTGGCCCTGGGAATTCGGCACTGTCACCAGCACCCATGGTGTAGGTCTGACAAAGGGATTACCATCCCCTCACAGTGGGTAAATGCTGTAGCCACAGCCCCAAGGCCCTTAGCGTAGCCCCAAGTACGTTCTTGTTGATCACCCTGGCTTGGGAATGCACCGTGGTACAGCAAGACTAGGCTGATGTCCTGGGAGCTGCGGCTTGTGGTGGCTGTCCTCAGTGTCCAGAAGACCATATGGCTCCCCTTCAGGGGAGGAGAGGGGGAACTTGCATTCATTCTGCTTCACCTTCTCATGCAGGTTGGACCAGGGACTGCCTCCTGGACTGGGGGTCCTTTATCCGGCTGGCGGTACCCGGCATGCTGATGATGTGTATTGAATGGTGGACCTTTGAAATCGGGAGTTTCTTGGCAGGTGAGTCTAAATCCTCTTTTTCCTCTGGTTCAACACGTCATCTTCCAGCCTGTTCTGGTGGCTGCCTCTTGAGTGTGTCCCCAGAGCACCTCCTGCCAGCAGCCTCCTCGCCTGCGGGGCTGGTTCTGCAGGATGCTGCATCTGTTAGATGGGAACCCTGTGGTCACTGCCTCCTTGTCAGCAAAGGAGGAGTTTAATTCTGACCTAATGAAGGAACTGATGAATCTTTTCCAGGGCTGCTGAGCGTGGTGGAGCTGGGTGCGCAGTCCGTCATCTACGAGCTCTCCTCTGCGGCGTACATGGTAAGGGCTGGGTGTATTAAACCGATGTCAGCCTCGGAGGGTCCCCCAAACAATGGCCCTGCAGATCAAGGCTGGGGAGGCAAGCAGGAGTTGGTACCAGACAGGTGATGACTCCCAGGCCTGCTGTGCAGCTGCACAGCCATGGGTGTGCTGCAGATGGACGATCCCTTTACTGCACCAATGCCAATTTTCCCCAAATTCCCTACCGGGGAGGAAGAAAATTTCTGGAGGCTCTATTGCCACTCACCTCCTCCTTGTCTCCTGCTGCTCAGGTGCCTCTGGGTTTCAGCGTGGCCGTGAGTGTCAGAGTGGGCAATGCCTTGGGATCGGGAGATGTGGTGCAAGCCAAGACCTCCTGCATCACCGCACTGCTGTGCGCAGGTCAGCCCGGGTCCTGCAGAGCGGAATAAAGGAGCAGGACTTGCTGCCCTTAAGGCAAGCAATTTGACTATTTCTTTTTCTTCCAGGAATTTTTGCTGTGGTGGTTGCAACATTACTGGGAACCCTAAAGGACGTGGTGGGATACATCTTCACCAATGACAAGTGGGTTAAGAACTTTTGAGTATTACTACCTTCTTGGAGGGTGTGATTTATACCCCAGGAGCTGCCTCAGAAGCTGCTGACAGATAGAGTTCATAAACCACGTTCCACAAAGGTTCCTCCCCACTGCCCAGTGTCACTGGGCAGCACGGATGCTGCTCATACTGGGACACTAACATGGTGGTACCCAAGCTGCACGCATCCCCGCAGGTGTCGTGGGCTGGGATCAGGCTTTGCAGCTGGCCGAGGGAGATAGGTCAGAACCAGAGTCCCTTGGGACCAGGCCGTGCTGCTTTCCCTGATCAGTACGTCTTCCCAACAGGGAGATCGTTAACTTGGTGTCCAAAGTGATGATCATCTTTGCTCCGTTCCACTTGTTTGATGCAACAGCAGTGAGTATTCCAGCACGTGGAGCGATTCCTCTCTGCAGGTTGGGGTGCAATGGAGAGTGCAAAGCTGCCTCTAGCTCACTCTTGACCTGTTAAAACGACAGAGAAGCAAACTGATAAACTGTCAGAGCAGCTGCTTGCATTACCTATAGCACCTCAGTGTCCCCTGTGCTTCTAGTCACCCATTGGCGTTGCTGCAGAACAACCCAGTTCTCCTTTTTACCCCCGACAAGGCTTCAGCTTTTTACTAGCTTGTCAGAGCAGCACGAGTGAGCAGCTCGATCTTCAGAGATGTCAGGTACTCACAGCGTAGTAACAGCGCTCATACAACTTGTTAGATAGTAATTCCAGCCTGTTTCCTCCTGTCATGTCTGGGGCACTGTCCCTGTGCTGGCATGCCTCTCGGTCTCTGCAGCCAGCTCCACGTTCTGCGCCTGGGTCGGCAGCTGGAACGAGAGGAACCCTGCACCACGTGCTCTGTGATGGGGCTTTGGTTCCTCTTGGCTCTGCGGGACAGCGCTGTGGGCTCCCCTATTCCCAGGGTGTTCCTGTGGTGGTACCTTCCATAGCGCGTGCCGTCCCACGGATTGATCCCTCTGCTTGCTTTCCTTAGGCGACCTGCGGCGGCGTGCTGCGGGGCACAGGGAAACAGAAGATGGGCGCTATCGCCAACGCCATCGGCTATTATGCCATCGGCCTGCCCATCGGCATCTCGCTGATGTTTGCGGCTAAGATGGGGGTGTTAGGTACGTGTGTCCTCCGTTCGGCATCGGGAGTCTGGCTTTGTATGAGCTGCCAGCGCTGCTCCTGCTGGGCTGAACCCTGTGCCTTGGGCAAAGGCTCAGCCCTGGAACTTGTGCTCGGCTCTTTCTGGATTGCACGCTGAAGTGTTTAGCTGACGAAGGCTCTGAGTAGCCCCCATCAAATGGGAGCTGAGCTGTCCCAGTAAATCCAGGCTTGCTCCCAGCATGGGACCCCCCCCAGGAGCTGTTTTTTCTCACTGTCCCTCAGGGTGGCTCTCCCATCAAGACCGGGTTAGACATGGGGAGATAATCTGACCCCACGAAGTCCTTGGGGGCATTTTGGCAAAAGCAAGCTGTCCTCAAGCCCTCCCTGAAGTAACTCTCCCTGCTGCAGGTCTGTGGGTGGGGATGATCGTTTGCATCTCTTTGCAAGCCCTTTCCTTCTCGGCTTTTGTCATGCGCATGGATTGGAAGAAAGCTGCAGAAGAGGTGAGACTCCTGCTTTTCTCTAGTAACTCTTAAAAGGTATTAGGTGACTTCTTGTCCCAGTTCATTGCCACAGCCCTCTGGGAGGAGGCAAAAGTGAAAGGGGATCGGTCCCTCTCCTATAGTGCAGGAACAATTTGGTGCTGAGCACGCTTGCTTTGGGAGGGTGGAGGGAGGAGGCTCAGGTTTGCTTGGCCGGACAGGACACCTTTGCTCCGAGAAGAGCAACTATTCCGTGTGTTTTTAGGCTCAAGTCCGAGCCGGACTGAAAAAACAATTGGAAGATGTGAACGCCAATGGCACAGCTGCTAACAAAACATCTGCTGTGGGTATGTACCAGGCCTGACAACAGGCAGGGAGCCCAAATTCTCCACCCAACCCATCCTTTCGTTCCCGGTCGTGGCAGCCGTGTCTGTCCTGCAGGCCCAGAGGGCTGGAAAGAGCCATGTCTGGTGCTGACCCCAGGCCAGTGGCACTTCTCCTGTACTTAGTAATGGGGTACAAGATAGCCCGTTACCCCTGGCACCGCCCTGGCTGCTCCAGGGAAGAGCCTGGACTGCCAGCCACTGTCTGCTGCCAGCATGTCCCAGTGTCCCTGAGCCTTGGGAAAGGACCCTCAGGACTGTCACTAGTGTTTGTGCAGCATCAGCGTGGGATCCCCTGACCCTGCAGCTCGGCTTCCCTGCAGCACTCACCTCTCTGTTGCACAGATTACGTCTCCGTTGACACAGACACTGCGGACACTGTGGTCCTTCCCGAGAACATCGTGGGAGGCGGGAGGCAACCTGACCACCAGCTCATCACGCAGGAGGAACCTGCTGTCACCCCTGCTCCTCCTGCCGTGGCATGGAGGGCCCTGATCATCCGCCGGGTGCTGGCTGCTGGTGCCGCAGTCGCTGTCCTGTTGGTGGGCATACTGGTCCGGCTCCTGACTGGCAACGGCTAGAACCGGCGACGCTGGGGAGCTGTGCACAGAGCAGGAGGGCACGCGGTAATGTCCCAGGAGGATGGTGCAGGGCAAGGAATTCCCCTTCAGTTACTTGTAAAGAGTCACTTTGCTCAGTTTCTGGTTAACTCACAATGTTTTATCCCACACGCAGAGTTCTTAAAGAGGGTGAGGAAGTGCTTGAAAGCTGGTCCCTCTCCTGCGCCGCACCGGGCTGTCACTCGGGGTAGGCGGGAGGGTATCGTGGGGCTGGCCCAGGAAGGAGACAGGGACCTTGTGCTGCTGCCCTGCTTCCTGTTCCCTGGGGACATTTCTCCGTGTCACTTGCTAAGGGCAGAGGCTCTTGCTGCCCGCAGCACGTTTCAGTTGTTTCCTCACGTACCAGTCTGTGCCAGCATCTCGGCGTGGCAGAGCCCGCTCGGTACCGCTGCAGCAGCCCAGAGCAAGGCCGGTTTTGTTGGAAGACGTCTGACTCTGGCTGGGGCGTTGGGTGCTGGCCACTGGCCCCGCTCTCCCTGCTGCGTGGCAGGCACAGGGCCTAAAGCAACTCTTCTTTGCACTTTTGTAAGGTGGGATTTTGATACAATAAAGTTTTCTGAGTAAATGTCAGACTGTTGACGTGGTGCGAGCGTGACCCCGGTCATGGGCACGACTAAGCCGTTAGAGGGGAGACGCGTGCCTGGTTTGTGCGGCGCGGTGGGCTTGCACGGGGCATGGCCTCAGCCTCCTGGCCCTGTGCTCGAGGGCTGGCTCGGGGTCTAGCAGCAGCCAGGGGCTCGGTTTAGCTGGGCTCAACGGAGCACGCTGCTCCGCTCACGTACCGGCAGGGTCTGCGCACCTCGATTGCTCCCACGCTGTTGCTGAGCCACATGGGAGAGGGGGGGTGCGGTGCACAACCCTATAGAGCCGTCAAGAAACTGCCATATGTCTCAGTGCAACTGCCCCTGCCCAGCCCTGCCCTCAGCACCAAGCCCCTCAGGACCGGCCCCAGGCTCTTACCCGCAGTTTTTTTCCACCGCCTCTGCGGTGTGACATGTGCCCAGCTGTTGGAGGTGAATTCCACGTACAGCCGGTGCACGGCACCTCCCTGACACCCCACAACGCTCCTGGCATGCGGCGCTGGTTGCCTGTGGGCTGGGAATGAAAAGACACAACGTAAAGGAGCTTGAAATGGCCCTCAACCCCGACCACAGCAGCCTCTGCCCAGAGTCCGGGTAGTTTTGCGATGGAGCCTGGGGAAAGGAGGGAGCCTGCCTCACCCTGCGCTCCCCCATCCCGCCAGAGCCCACGTCCCGCTCCGTGCGGGAGGGCTCTGCACCGCGGCGGGCCAAGGCGGGATGCTATATTTGGCGGAGCGGTGCTGGTGAAATCTGATGCTGTGCGAGGCCGACAGCTGGAGCCAATGGGGCCGGCTTGTCTTGGCCACCGCTGCGCTGCGATGAGAGGGGCTGAGAGGACAGCAGTCCCGCCACTGCCAGCAGCAGCTCACGGGAGACCGCACGCGGAGCCATGAATCCTCCGTCGCTGCTGGAAGAGGAGGACAACCCTCCAGCCCACCGGCTGGCAGAGCCGCGGCGAAGCTGGAGAGAGGTATGAAGGCTCGCGGGAGAGATTTAGGAAGGCTCAGCCCCTACACTGCCTCAGAGGAGGCAGCAAGCGCCTTGTCCCGCATGTCTGGGCTCCTCTGGGCTGCCCGCAGCGGTGCGCAGGACCCTCACCGGGCTCCCCAGCTCCGTGCCCCTCTCTGACCCACTGTGTTTCCCATGGCCAGCCCCAACTACCGGCACAAGGAAGCGGTCGGATCTGCCAGCTACAGCTGAAGTTTGTACTTAACTTGTGGTTACACATTACTCACCTCAGCAGAGTGATTTAAACAGAGCGCGGAGGAAGTAGGTTGTTTCACTCCCCAGCAGAGCGGCAGCATGAAGCAGGCGAACGTCCCTGAGGAGAACGGCTTCAGCGAGGTGATGAACTCCGGCCAGCGTGATCTCACACCCAGCAGCTGCGAGAAGAAACGCCGCTGGCTTCGGCGCCTGGTCCCGGACAACTTCTGGGAAGATGCGAAGAAGCTGCTGGTGCTGGCGGGGCCGCTGGTAAGGACCTTGGGAAAGAGCACACTACCCCCAGCATGGCCGTCCCTGCTCGCCTCCATCCCTGACCTCCGCCTCTCCTCTTCCCTGCACTTAGATCCTGATCCAGCTGATGATCTTCCTGATACACCTCGTCAGCTCCATATTCTGCGGCCACCTGGGCAAGGTCGAGCTGGCCTCTGTCACGCTGGCCATTGCTGTAAGCATTCCCAGGGGCTGCTGCTGCGCCGGGCACCAGCTCCCACCCGCTGACGCTGGGACAGGATGTGGGAATGGAGGCGGACAAGGACGGAGGAGATTGCAGACTCCCACTTTTCCTTTTACCCCTCTCCCTACCTAGAAGTCTTAAAAGCTCACATTCGTTCTTTGTTTTTTTAACTCCTGTTTCCAGGTTATAAATGTTACTGCCATCTCTGTAGCTTATGGTTTGTCTTCGGCATGTGACACCTTGATATCGCAGGTGGGTAAGAGATGCTGGCACTTGTCCTGGAGCCACGGGGTTTTCCAGCATTGGCTGATGCTGCCCAGGCACTGCACGGAGCTGGGAAGCTTGTCCCTAGGGCAGCAATCCCATAACAGGGAGGTCCGTGCTCCCTCTGAAATACCAAACCCTTCCCGGGCGGTCTCCAGGGTGGTCAGGGCCGCTTCCGTTCTCCGCGGGGTCCCCGTCCCGTCCAGCACCGGTGCGCTGCCAGTGCGGCAGAGCTTACTGCCGCCCTCTCACCTTCCAGACCTACGGCAGCAAGAACCTGCTGCGCGTGGGGGTGATTCTGCAGCGTGCCACCCTCATCCTCCTGCTCTGCTGCTTCCCCTGCTGCGCCGTCCTCATCAACATCGAGCAGCTCCTGCTCCTCATGCGCCAGGACCCCGAGGTCTCCAGGTCGGGTGGTCCCGTGGCACAGACACCACTGCCTCGTCCCTCCCGGCACGGTGGGGCTGCGAGGGGGATGGCTATGGCCCCTCACTAACCCTGCCTCTCGTGTCCCCCCCCGCCAGGTTAACCCAGCGCTACGTGATGGCATTTGTCCCTGCACTCCCGGTGAGTCCCTGTGGGCACCCTGGATGCCGGTCACATACAGGAACCGGCCATCCTGCTCCTATTTTCCACCACAGCAGCACAGCTCCGTCTCATCCACCAATTTTCTTTTCAGGCAGTTTTTCTGTACAACCTGGAGACGAGATACCTGCAGAACCAGGTGGGTCCCGCGGCCCTTGCACCCACAGAAGGTCAGCCCCGGCTCAGGGCTCCCCTTGACCATGTACTCGGGGTTTTTCCACCTCGCTGTTCCCAGTGGCGAGGCAGCTTTGTCCCCACCGCTGCCCAGGCACTCTGGAGCAGCTCTGACCCTACAGATCACCCCATCCCACGGCTAGTTGTATCCATCTGCCTGACGGACCTCCCTTCACACTTCCCCAGGTCAGGGATTTACCTCCAACACACTCATTTTCCAAGCAGGCGACATCATCAGAAGTTTATTTTTTGGCTGGGAGAGCTGCTGAGCACGGGGCTGGCAGGTCCTTTGCACCTCTCTGCCGAAGCTTTCGTGAAGGTGCTGTAGCCCCCATCTCCTCCTCTTTGCAGATGATCATGTGGCCCCTGGTGCTGAGCGGGATCGTTGGGAACGTCGTCAACGTGATCGCAAACTGCATCTTCCTCTACATGTTCCACCTGGGCATCGCGTAAGTAGCACCCGTGTCCCGCGGAGGGGAAAAATGCAACAACCGGTGACGGCAAGGGACTTTTCAGGGATGTCGACCCCACCAGGTGCGGCCGAGCATCCGGTGCTTGCGGGGGCACGGCGGGACGTTATGCTCAGCCGGGGAGGCGTGAGCAGGATGCCAACAACCTTTCTCATTCCTTTTGCAGGGGCTCTGCCTGGGCCAACACCGTCGCTCAGTATTCACAAGCCATTTTCTTGTTCCTGTATATTATAGGCAAGAAACTCCACGCGAAGACCTGGGGAGGTAAGGGCATCTCCCCAGCTCCCTCTGGGTCCTGCCTTACACAAGTATTCATGAATCTTCCACCACTTCTACCAAATAAATTCTGTTAGTCCTGACGGTGAAATATTAACCTCAGCCCGGTACACCCCGGGAACGTGGTGCTGCTTCGGTGGCAGCACGTCATGCGCGAGTTTTGGCAGATCACCGTGCTGGGCAGTAAACATTAATTCTGGAAAAATGAAACTTTCTGCTGAGGCTTTGTAGGGTTCAGCCCCAAAGCCGGATGTAAGCACGAGGTTGTCCTTAGACGCTCTGCTCCGGGAGGGATGAGCTGAAGGTTGCACTGCTCTGTGGCCCACAGGATGGCGTCAGCAGAGCTTGTATGTGCACTCTCCGCTGCCGGAGGTCCTACGGAGCTGAGGAGCATTGCCCTGGTAGCTCCGCAAGCAGGAACGGCACCTCCAGCTGACTTGGGGTCTCTCGAAGGTGTAACATGTTGGCCAGCCTGGTCGCTCAGGGGACATTTCTCCTCTCTGCAGGCTGGTCCAGCGAGTGCCTGCTGGAATGGGACAGCTTCACCTCCCTGGCTGTCCCCAGCATGCTCATGATGTGCATCGAGTGGTGGACCTATGAAATCGGGAGCTTCTTGATAGGTCAGCGGAGATGGGGACCTGCAAGGGGGTGGACAGGGTGTGAGCCAGAGCGGCGTCTGCAGCAGTCGCAGGGGCTAGAGTGCACCCCCACCCAGCGCTGACCCCCTCCTCTCCCCCAGGCCTGCTGAGCGTCATAGAGCTCTCTGCCCAGTCCATCATCTACGAGGTGTCCGTTGTCGCTTTCATGGTAAGGGCCAGGGGGTGTTATTTCAGACCGGGGCTCCCTAAGGACAGTTCTGGGACAGACACCCTGGCAAAAATCAGCTCCAACAAATATTGATCTTCCCCCTCTGTGCTTAAGCCTCTCCCTGCT